CTTTATTTACTTATATTATATTATTTTTTTAGTTTAAATTATAATATTTTTGTCTTAGTATTTAGTTATTGTGACTCAATTCCTTTCGCATAAGCCCATTAAAGGTTTTTTGAAAGGAAAATCTAAATGTACATATGTATTTAATTGTAAATTGAATAATAAATTTAAAAAAAATCGTTAAATAAATGAGTTTATCATTATTATTAAACATTGCAATTAATACAGCGACATCTATGTTAGATTCCAGGTAGTAAAGGCATCTGAACGAGTGAAAAAATTTTCATAAGCTCTCGTAGGCAAAACAGTCGTTTAAAACTAAATACAAAGGTCCTAAACAAGCACAGATAATAATTGAATATCAATTCAACAAAAATTTTAAAGCACAGAGAAATTCGTAAGATCAGCTGATACCCGTAGCCCAGTTGGACTGGCTCGAGTCCGTTAGTCCGATCTTTGATTCAATAATAACGGTTACATAATTTATTTAAGCTCTAAGTGGCACTGCTACCGTGCGGGTTGGCGTATCGCTTACCTCCAACCGCTCGACCTGATGACGTCCCTTGATATCATTAAAAAAATATAAAGTCTACAAAAGGCTTTTTGCTGTGAATATGTGTGTGGCAGCGGGAGATATAAGAAATTGGTGAAATTTCTCGACCTCGACAGGCGCAGGGGCAATGCCCATCAGATCTAAGTGATTTAAGGCTTTGACGGTTTATAGGTGTGGTTGATGATGATGAAAGGTTTATGGAATACAAGTTCGATCGCGACTGCGTATCAACCTAAGTTCGATGCGTCGAAAGTAATTTGAAGTTCAGCACAAAATAATCTATTTGTAGAGCGCCTTGTGAGAGAGTTCGTCCAGGGAAGTACTGCCGCTTTTCTTATTTCTGCCGTCAAGTACTAATATGAGCATAATTACGTTTCGGTTTCGAAGAGTAAGGGTGCTGGTGAAATCAGACATGAGTTCCATATGTTTTTTTTTTTTATAAAGTACCTACCAAGAGATGGGACAAACAATTCGTGTGCTTGGTGGTAAGCGACACGCTTATCCATAACAGTTATACAAATAAGATTAAGGGGCAGAGTAAAAAATAGTTATTTTTGATACAAGTGCGGAAAGTTAGTCATTATTCACGAGTCTCGAGGCTCGAGACTCAAGGCTCAAGACTCGAGACAAGTGAAAATGACAAATCCGCATGTGTATCAAACAACGTTTTTTAATACATTTGCGAAAAACCTACATTGAAAGCAAAATAAAACAGTATTTAAAAAAAACCTCATTTTATTCCTTTGTCAATAACAAAATCAAATCGTAAAAAAGTAAATGAAAAAGGCGGAAATGTAAACGATGAAAAAAATTAGCACTTTTTTTGGCCGACTTTTTTCAATATGGCAACTGTTGCCAGTATTCAGCCACATTAAAATTACTATTTTATATTACTTTATTTTCTACATAATCGCTACTAAGGAGCATTTACTTCATAGGTGTAAAAATGCGGTCTCTCCATAGATATAGTATAGTAATGACGAATGACTTACGTCACAAAGCACATAAATATGAAATAAATATACAATCTCTTTAGTTCTATGTTTAAGACTTAAAACAACAGTAAATTAAGAAAAAACTGGAAAAGTAAAAAGCACTAGTGCGAGAAATCCAACTTTCCGCACGATTTGTAGTGCGAAAAATACCACGTTTTGAGCAACTGTATTAAAAAAATATAAAATTTAAAACTGTTTATTACAACTATTAATAACAAATAATAATAATAAATAACGCACACACTCAACATAGCCCCGCACTAGGGAAACCCTGTGTCGCGGGTGCCATGGACACACATATAGACAACCACAAATTGCACCCAAACTCACGAGAGAAATAATTGTAGGCCATACAACTATTTCTCTCGGCCCGGGAATCGAACCTGGGACCTCTGCGTGGCAGTCCGGCATGGTAACCATTCGGCCACGGAGGCAGTTTAACAAGTTACAGTACATTCAAGGTAGAATCTTAAAATTAAAGATTATTTATCCTTTTCTAGTGAGTTGCGTTAAGTCTAATATGTAAGGTACAACAATTAAATCAATGACCAGTTTGCGTATGCCTCCTTTGATATTGATCTTTCATATAAAATTTTTTAATTTTTTTTTTTTTTTTACTTGTATAGGATTTTAATATGTTATTTCATTTATAAGATTTTTTGGTAAGCTATTTCATACCACAGGAAGTTCACACATCCAAACTCTTTTACCATAATTATTGTTACATTTAGGTATACCATACATAGGTAGACGTGATAGTGTACGTAATGAATTCGGTCTAATTTTAATTTTTAACGACTTTATTTTTCCACAATTTTCGGTTATGACTGCTAATTTAACTTTATCAAAGACATTCATTACGTTACAGTACTCAAATAATTGGTAGTAATTATCTTTCAATTTATATCTAATTCTAGGAGGTACAATGGTCTTCAGCAATCTTATTTGAAGGCTATAAATATTTTGTAGGAATGTTTTGTACGTACGACCAAAGCTCGAAATACAATAATTAATTATAGAGTCAGCCAGTGCCAAATATAACATTCTCAATGTATTATATAGTAGTTTTTGTTTGAGTACACATAACTTGGAAAGTACCGCTCTAAGCTTATTACATACATGTTCAACAAGTTAAATTTATGGTCAATTTTCAATCCGAGATACATATGTTCCTTTACCAATTCTAATGGTTTACAATGACAGTTTATGGGCTGATGATGCATGCAATTATGATTATGAGTGACGGGCGCAGCGGCAGTGCCCAACAGATATCAGTGATTTAAAACTCAAAGTAGAACTGCAACTGTTAAGAACAGGCGTGTTGCTTACGAGGCGCATGACTTGTTCGGCCCTTTATTCGGTACCATGAAAATGAAATCCACGGCTTTAGTACTGTTTAAAACCAATGAGCAAGGTGTTTTTTTCAAATAGGCCGCTAGTCTAGAAAGCCATCGATTTAGTGAGTTTATATTGCAACAAGTGTTGTGACCTTTTTTAACGTCGGCCTCCTTTGTACAAGTGGCTGGCTCGCGAACTGACAGTCGCGAACTAATCGACAGTGGGTTAGTGTTCTTGTGTTTAACTGATTACACTTGTAAATGATGTGGCTAATAAAGACAGTCCATGTCTAGTCCGTCCTTTTTACTTTCAGAAAACACAAGTTCGTTGATTTGCGATTAGGATATTTTAATGATCGAACGATTTGCAAATCAGATATTGCAGGACCTGTATCGATACGCTGTTGTGAAGCAAAATACCCTTGTTGCTTTTTAATTTGATCCTTTTTCATGTAGGTATATTATAAAATCTTCAAACATGGGACCTATAATTTATTTATTTATTTATTTAAACACTTTATTGCACCACAAAGTAAATTACAAATTTTCTTTAAATTGAATGAAAATGAAATGAATTTTTATTAAACTTAATAAAAATTGTTTCGAATTCGGGTTGGCCAATCGGAGCGCAGTTGTCATCGTAATGATATGGCAGAATGGTTCTCAAACAAATTAAATGACATTTCGTCTCTATTTTTGGTTATATACTCGATAGCTAGATTAAATGGTTTAGTATTTCCTGTTAAATAACGGTCGTACAAAAAATATACGATACACCTAAGGATATTGTCTATAGAAAGTGCTAATGTGTTCCACGATAGGACGTAGAGCGGTTACAAATGGCGAATTTTACACACGCGCGACTTTAAATCAGCGATGCAAACGTTTGTAAATAAAAATAAATAACGCACTCACTCAGCATAGCCTAGGGAAACCCTGTGTCGCGGTTACCATGGACACACACATAGACAACCACAAATTACACCCAAACTCACGAGAGAAATAAATGTAGGTCATACAAATATTTCTCCCGGCCCGGGAATCGAACCTGGGATCTCTGCGTGGCAGTCCAGCATGGTAACCGTTCGGCAACGGAGGCAGTTAATCGATGCAATCGCGGCGTTTTACGAATGTCTGTGAAAATGACGTTTAGTATACGAGTTACAAAACTGCATTGTAGTTTTCGACCAATCGAACATTGGTTAAGCTGAAGGCATTTACTAGTTAGGGTATCGTACCCCATGCTCCGACAGAAAAAAAATCTGAGTCAACGTGGTAAAATCAAGAATTACCAGTCATTATTGATTAAAATTATTGGTATTTTTCCATTTCCAGTTTTTTCATCCACTTTTTTCCTCACAACGATTACGAAGACATGGGAACACCCAGCAACACATGTTTACGTACCGCACGTGTACACTGACAAATACACGCTATAAATTTTATGGTTTTTAGAGTCCAGTCATCGAAAATAAGTGGTATGGTTAACTGGTAGGCAAACAAAGTTCAAGGTTAAATTACATCCATTATGCAACGTTGGCAAAGCTAACCGAAATGGAAATAAAAAACAACAGTGACATTTTGAAATATGCCTATGCAGTATTTAGTTTTGTTTTTAGTAGAAGGTTGGAGATCCTCGTGAAAAACTTCATCCAGGGATGTACTGTCACTATATTGGTACTCTCCTTTCAGAGCAGGTTTCAACAAGACGTTTTTCCTTCACCGAAAAGCTCTCTAGTAGCAATAGAGTGAATAGAGAAGAAATAGAGTTACTGCATTACTGCGTCCCGGTTTTGAAGGGTAAAGGTGCAGCTGAAACTACAGGTAGGTACATGGGAGTTTTCAATTTATGTCTCAGGGTGACGGGCACACTACCTGTAAGTGCAACTGCTATGGGTAGGCGTGTCTTTTACCACCAGTCACACGACTCGTTCGTGCCATCACTTAATAAAACAGACTGCTATTTCATTCATTCATATTGTATTTTATGTTTGAGCACATGTCAACCGAAAACCGGATAAAAATCACGCTAACGGATTCCTAATTATAAGTTTTCCGGTCGACCTATAAAATACCAGAAAAACCACTATTCACCTTGACTTTGAGACCAGTATTACAACGGCCATCATCGCGATCAGTTGTGCAAACGGGTGAACAAATACAAATAACATTATTGAACTATTACGTGTTTGTACAGAATGAATTTCAGTGGAAAGGTGGTTATTATTACCGGAGGAAGTTCAGGTACATAAGTCTTTGTTGATTGCATTGTAGCTTGGGTGAATCTGTGTCTAATTTCAAAAATAATCAGTCTCTTGTGTGGGTAATTCATAATACTGAAGCTTGCTTACATAACACTTGTGTACTCGAGTTGCCTGGTACAATTTTCCTGTCATTTGGCCTTGAATTACGACATTACAATGTTGTTATAGAGAGGCAGATCATATTCTAGGTCATCAAGTAATTCGTAACTAGGCAATGGTTTTTCACCCGCCGTCCTATTCGTGCATAGAGTCCATAATGCGGTAATATAAATATTCAGAAAGAACAATGCCCAAGTTCCATACAGTCCTGGATCAGCTAAAACAAAGTTGGCGACCATCTATCGCAGATAAAGGGTTTTATTTGTTTCCATATAGTTTCTGATTATACTGGATTTATATTTATTTAACTAGGGAAAGTTGATGTAAACATATTATTGTAAGTATAGTTGTGTCTATATTAAAAGTAATATTTAGATTCACTACGACAGAAGAATGAGATAAAAATTGTGCAAAAAAGATACAAGTTTAAAAAAAAAATCTTAAAAGTTATTGAAAGCGTTGTTGACATTTAGTTTTGAACGTAGCATAACTCAGATTTTGATATCTAATTTGAAATCTCATTTATACTAATATGATTTCTTCAACGTTGATTTAATTTCATCTCGAATTTTCTGACAACTTTAAAGTTGAAAGTCAAGTTCGAGTTAAGGAAGATTTATCGGTGTCACAATTATTGTAACTTTCGTTCATGATTATTTCAAGTTGAAGTTAATTTTTGAAGAAATTATGGCAAGGGTGAACGATGTTTCAAATAAAATGTAAGTCGAGTTACGTTCAAAAACAAATATTTACAATGTCTTCCATATGTTTTCACGTAATTATTAAAAAAGCTCATTGTTTTTTCTCCAACTTGTTTCAATGTTATTATTTCATAACATAAATTTGGATATTCATTTCCAACCAGACACCATCATCACTCATCATTTCAGTCTGTTTGCACCCACTGCTGAGTATAAGCCACATCTCTATTGCGTCATTCCTTCCCGTCCCTTGCGAATAGTGTCCAGTGGTTCCCCAACTATCCATCGGGCGGGTGGTCTGCCTTTTGGTATTTTTGCGTCTCTTGCCCATCATTCAGTAACAGCTTTCGTCCATCTACCTCCACCTCCATTTAAGCCATGGCCATCCTCATACCCACGTCTACTACCTTTGTGCGACGTCGAATATCGTAACATTGTGTATGTGGGCCAGCGGTGTTCAACCGCGTGGTTCAATCGGTCGCGACAAAAAAATTTGCGAGTCAAAATTGGGCTTTGTTCTTTGTCAACCGCACGCCGTGGAATTTTATAATGCGTTAGCTAAGAATGTTGTCTATTTAACAGCTGATGTTAAACGGATAAGGAAACGGATTAGACTACAGACCACCACGCTGGTCCAATGCAGGTGGGGACTTACAAGTTTTGACAAGGGTTGTGAAATTTTCAATGTGCAGGTACACATTCCTGCAAAACATTAACGAATGTAGGTAGCTTAGAAATGATTTGGCTTACGGCGAAAAAAAACTTTTTTTTTATACATTATAAGTGCGCATTTGACCTCCATCTCACCTGATGGAAAGTGACGATGAGGTCGACGATGGAGCATACACACCTAAATAATGCCTCTTCACTCTCGCCTTGAAAAAGCTTACGTTATAACGTTCAGGGAACAAGTCTGCAGGCAGAGAATTCCACTCTATAGCCGTTCGCCATATAAATGTGGAAGCATAAAGCTTCGTGCGAATCTTTAGAATATCCACAAAATAGGGTGCAACCCAAGCCTACGCCTAGTCCCCCGATGATGGAAAGGGGAAGGCGGAATTAAATCGTGTAATTCAATCGCACACTCTCCGTGCACGACCGGACTTGTGCTTAGTACAACTGTCCCGGTGTAAAGTAGCACCTCACCCTGAAAAAGATGCCAAGCTTCCTTGCTGCATTTTTGGCCATGGATTCAATGTATCTGACGAAGTTCAAATTGAACGACAGGTCCATTCCAAGTAGCTAGAGACATTCGGCTATGGATATATCACAAAAAGTCAGAGTAAGCTCAAAGGGACTCCGTTTTGTGGAGAATAGACACGCCTGCGCTTTGGTAGCGTTAAATTTGACTAGATTGGCATCGCCCCAATCGGAGACTGCCTTGAGCGTCAAATCCAAACGGCTTAATAAAACTTATTCTATGTCTAGACTTTATAGGGACGCTGCGAATAAATATTTCAGCATTGACGTCTCTGTTACGTTGTATTAAAGTCTAAAGCTGGCCTTCCAGTGCGAAAAGGTAATGTGCGGGATATAGCTGAGCGGAGCAGAGTAAATAGTTTTGTCCTTTCACTAGAAAAGAGGTATTTGACTTCCATTACAAGTGGGCTAAGCAGAGTGAGCTAGGCGGGAAATGAGACGAGTCAGATGAGCGAGTTGTTTGCCTTCCATAGAGCATTATCTAAAAATATCACAAATTACTTTTGTTCTGAGCATAGTTAAGAGGGCACCGAGATTGTGGCGCTAATTGATTTTAGATATTCTATGCGCTCGTGTGTGTGTGCGTGTGGCATACGTTTCCATTGCCGTGTGTAAGCCCTAGCGACACAACCTCCACGTCTGACAACCGAAGCAGAAAGGTGGACAAGGGGGAAGTGTAGCGGCTGTGGCTAGTATAGGTGGACCGCGTGCGAATTTAAGTATTTCCTTCGTATTATTAAAACAAATACACATTTGTACGGAGTACACGTTATAGAAAAGATGTAGTTTTGTACCTTCCGTGGAGTATTTACGCTGTACTAAGGGTATATTTAGTGTTTTAGAGATAACCTCATAGGAAACTACAGGTAATCGTGTTTCTAAAGAGTATGATTTCTAGCGTGAATCCTTAATTATCGTATACATTAATTTCATAACTAAAGCTATAGCAATAGCGATACAGCAAGGGATCAAACGAACGCTATTATTTCACAATCGCTGCCTCGGCGCAGTCTCAAATCCCTATGACAATGTATAATAGGACATTACCATTGTGGAGTCCGTTCAAAACTAGCACTCGACACAATGACACATCGGATCCATTTTAGGGTCAAAACACAAAACTGCGATGCGACGGCGCATCGTAAGAATTTGCGAATTGCTCCGCATCGCGCATTCCTGCGATGTTAATCTTCTTTGTCTTTTTTTCCTGTACTTTCTTATCAATAACTGCAGTGTAACACTCTTTTTACGATCCATGTCGCTTACCTAGTTTAAGAAAAACGTTAACTACGGCCGATGATCGTCAAAGGAAGGAGGTTACCCGAACCGTGGCAATGAGAAGCTTTGCCGCACGAAATCGCATCGCAGCAATTCGCGTCGCAGTACTCTGCGTTACGAATTCGCATCGCGTCGATTTGCAGTTTTGTGTTTCGACCCTTAACTCGTCGAGTCCGCTTCGCTCACTCGTTAGCAATGGAGGTACTTCTAGGAAATCTACTAGTCGAACGAAGTCCGTACGGACTCTGGACACCCGCTCAATTCTGCGACCTGTTTTGTAACTCTTTCCACTAACTCAGTCCGCTCGGCTCGCTTGTTTATGATGGAAGCACTTCTTAGAACTTTACCATTGCAAGTTAAACGAAGTGCGGGTCCCGCCCCGCTCGCTGTGGAAGGCGGGCATAAAAGTTTAAATCTGTCGCTTAGTTCGGCTCTAGTTGTGGTGGATTGTGGTCTGATACCTTCTTACGTTACAGGTATAGGAGCTGCAGCAGCAAAACAATTCGCTTCTCATGGCGCCCTACTCACTATCGTCGGCCAAAATGAACAGCGTTTGTTACAAGTAGCTGAAAAATGCGCTAACTTCAAAGACCATAACCCTTTATGCCTTTTAATAGATCTCACTTCGCCAGACGGTTGCGAAGAAGTCGTAAGGAAAACAATAGAAACTTATGGAAAGATTGATGTCTTAGTCAACTGCGCTGGTAAAGGACCGGTGACAGATCTCTTCGATACCTCAATGGAAATTTTCGACGAACTAATTGCAATAAACCTTAGAGTACCATACAAGCTTACTAAACTATGTCTCCCACATTTGAAGAACACGAAAGGCAATATCGTTAATGTATTTGCTGCACCATTGAAGGTGACACCCGGTTTTCTACCCTTCGCTATGATCAGAGACGCATTGCAAAGGTTCACAAACTCAGGAGGTTTAGAAACAGCATCGGTCGATGTGAGAATGAACGCCGTAAGACCAGGTATAACCAGAACGAATTTCCTAGCCAACTTTAACGTTAGTGATGCTGATATGAAAGAAGCTTATGAAAAGATCGCTGAAATAGTACCAAATAAAGTGATAATTGAGCCTGAGGAAATAGCAAACCTGATTCTATTCGCAGCTAGCGACATTTGTCCCAATATGAACGCTTCCAATTTGGTATTAGACGGCGCCGCTTCTTATTACTGACTAGTACACATAATTAACATCTGGTCTGATGTAAAAAATAATGCTTCCAATTATTTATACGAGTTATTTTTGTCACGTACATTTGTAATACTTAATAGTTCAAAATATTCCATTAAATAATTTTAGCCTTTACTTTTAAGAATGATTGGGTATAAAGTCAGTAAATCAGATTTATTACCTTGTTTTGTAAACAAAAAACATGTTTATCTCTTTTTGTTATTATTGATGTAATAGGATGCTAATTAGATATTAATAAATTATGATTAATGTTGTGTCTATGAAACCTTTAGAGTTTTACTAAAATCAGTTGGAGAAAGAATAATATAGTCTACTAAATTCGCAAACCTCTTGATTAATATGCATTTTTGAGTAGGCACAAAAACAGAATTATTTTATATGACAATCTTTGATTATACCATTATTATTTTTATAAATAAAAAGGGTCTAGACATTTTGAAGCTTTAAATGCCCGATATTGCTCTTGAAGATAAAAAAAGAGGTTTCGTCCAAAAATGTACAGACGGCAGCACATCAATCTACACATTGACGGATCTTGATGCCTTGTGCGCTGGATGTGCTGTTGACTGTTACGAGGTAAAATGTTTTGCGCGACGTGAATTGACCGTGCCTGCAGATCCAGTATCTATCTGGAAAATAGGGAGGTTACTGTACGTGCTCCCGGGGCGGCTCACTTAAGGCATTAGCCTTACAAAGAACTGGATGAAGTCCGTGCAAACGGGCTGATCCGGGTTAGGACCTGACTTAGATGGTCTCTGAGCGGGTTCGCTCAAACAGGTCATAGTGCCCTTCCCGCATAACCAAGAGGTTGATAGGGAGGGGCAATATAAACAAAACTTATGTAGAAAGATTTGGGACTGTACTTACGAGGTTTTCAAATTTAGCCGATTATCATTCTTAATACAAAAGGCAACTTTTTGAGGACAATAGAGTATATATATAGTTCATTTTGGTTTTCTATTAAACTTCACCACGGATGGTCCTAGATCATTCGCAAACAACAGCTGCCTGCAACTTTCACCAGGTCGTAGGTCCAGAGTCGGGCTGTCCTACACGGCGTCATCCAGCTAGTGATGGCCACTGATAACTAACATGTCAATCTATACTAGTTTACAGCTGCAAATAATGGGCATCGCCAATAAAGACACCAGACACATGATCTATCAAAGCGGAAAGGAGAAGAACTGTGTTGCCAGCTAATAAAATTTCTTTCTCAAATATCATACCCATAGATAATGGACTAAAGTTATGCTTGACTGATGTGTTCAACCTCGTAGTAAAGCTGCTTTATTTAATATATAATTGACACACGCTTAGCCATATTCTCACCTGATGTTAAGCGACGATGTGACGCGTTTGCCTAAAAAATGCCTATTCACTCTAGCCTTGAATAGCCCCAAACTGTACTTTTCGGCAAATACAGATGCAGAGAGTAGAGCATTGCATTCATTTGCCGTACGCATCAGAAAGGAGGAAGCAAAGCGCTTAGTGCGAAAAGTTGGAATATACTATACGATATATAATATACGACATAAGAATGGAGGCTCCGGACCTTCTAGTCGACCAAAGGAGGAACGGTGAGGATGGAACTAAATTGAAAAGTTCCTGCGCACGCTCCCCGAAATGTACCTTCTAGTCGACCAAAGAAGGAACGAGGAGGATAGAACTAAATTGAAAAGTTCCTGCGCACACTCCCCGAAACGTACCTTCTAGTCGACCAAAGGAGGAACGGTGAAGATGGAACTATATTGAAAAGTTCCTGCGCACACTCCCCGAAATGTATTCGATAGAAAACCGACGGTTTTCTATCGGATACATTTCGGATGCATGTCGCATGCAGGCTACTTTTCTGCGATGGTCGAGATTTTGTAGCTTCGACTCCATAACAGAATTGTTGTTAATAAGTCTCTGCTTTTCGCTCCACCGAGTCCAAGGCAGGTAACTGGTAATGGGCAGAGCCGTCCCAAAGGTGGCAGCAGTACTCCATACACGATCGAATCTTCGAACTTGTGCTTTATACAGATTTAAAAGCTGTTCAGGTGTGAAGTACAGCCTGACCTTGTAAAGCATGCCTAGTTTTCTGGCAGCAGTTTTTGCCAAGCACACGATGTATCGCCCAAGTTGAGGTTGGATGATAAGTCCAGACCAAGTAGCTCAAGGTGTTCCCTTATCGGCCCGTATATATCTCAACTTTTTTTTACTGGGAGTAAGGTGTAGGGGACTCCGTTTTGATGTGAAAAGACACGCCTGTGTTTTAGCCGCATTAAACCTGACTCTGTTCACATCTCCCCAGTCGGAAGCCGCTTTCAGGCTCAGATTGAACCGGGTGACCATCGCCTCTCGTTTACACCGGATCTCTTCGCTGTTGTCTCGGGCGTCTGGCACATAACTCTTTACCACTGTGCTGTCGTCTGCGTACCCAAAGGTAGGTCGTTGATATGCAGCAAGAATAGAGTGGCGGAGAGGACAGATCCCTGAGGTACATTGGCATTTATGCCATGAGGAGCAGACGAATAACCATCTACTACTACACGAATTGACCTATCATTCAGAAAATCGCCTATCCATGTGCAAAACCCAACAGGAATTCCGTAAGCTGGAAGCTTGTTTAACAAGCTATCATGCCAAAACCTATCAACGGCCTTTGATATGTCGATAGACACGGCAAGCGATTCACCGCGTTTCTCGCCAGTCTCGCCCCATAAATGTGTGGCATACGCAAGAAGATCCCCAGTAGATCGCTATCTAATACATAGCTAAAATGTGCTTGCAAATCTGGCCAATGCGCCTGTTTGCGAAAGGCTTGCGAGCTGCTCACGTGCACTATTACGTAGTGTGATCTGTTCGCGTGCTGCTCGCACGCGTTTTGATCATCACAGAGGCGCATGCCGCGCAGCGTCTTCGCCAAATCTGTAAGCACCAGTAGCGACGAGTCCATATAACTCGAATTTCACCGGCTTGCCCAAAATTTCAACATATTACATATACTACATTTTGTGCTAAATTTTATGTGTACAATAAGTGAACCAGTGAAATGAAGTATACTAGTACCTTATGTGCTAATAAGTTGTGTTTAAGTGTCGCCAAGGCGTCACTTTTTCTTAAGTTAGCGTATTTTATTTGGCTCCGGCTTTACTAACGACCATTTTCACGCCTCGCCACTGGTACGCACCCTGAGACTGTCAGTCCTCTGGATTTATACCTTAGTGGTTTTCTAGGTCATCTACCGAAAGACGTAAAAACCAAAAATTATCGAACATACTTTTATTTCTAATCTACATGTATTTGCTTAAAGCTTATGATTGTACCATCGTTATCTTCAATAACGATACGAATATGAAGATATTCCTTGTGTACTTTAAGTTAAATTAAAGACAACAGAAGATAAACCGCAAGTGAAAATTATTCCACCTCTAAGAGTGGTAAACTAGAGGATGAATTATTTTTGAGGTCGGTTTTTTTAACCGGAGGTTAGGTTATTTAGTTTTTATTTATTACTGTGAGATAGTAAAGTAGTCTTTTTATGTGTAACACAGACTAAGTAAGCAAGCAATCATATTAAATAAATAATGCTTGCGTTCATGTAATAACATAAAAGTTATTGAAGGGGACACATTTTTGGAGGTTATCTGAAAACGACCTTAGAACATATCAATAAGGTACCGTGGTTGTTTATAACGCGGTCAGTAACCGTGTCATCCCGATGCCCATTCTATCGGTTGTCCTTCATCAGGACGAAGAGGAGAAACAGGAAAGAAAGAACCGAAAAAGAAAGTAAAGACGTTATTGGGTTCATGACATTCGAAAAAAAGTCGAGGAAATTATTGGACTTTATATGAGCAACTGGATGATGAAGAAAAATTTCACTGTTCTGCCAACTGCGCGCAGAGCGTACCCGTACCTGAAAATTTTGTTGACGTGAATTCGCTGTCGGTCCGGTCATGACACGCCACGGTATTAATCGGTGACGGCAAGGTCTAGTGGGCATTGATTCATAGTAACTCATATATGAGTACACAGAATATTACGTAGATACGGTTACGGTTATACTATGATACGTAGAAGTGGACAGAGGAAAATAACAAATATATAATAAGCTAGATAGCCATACACTTTATAGCTCACACACAAGAACAAGATCAGTACATGAACGAATTAAAACTAATATAGGCATAGGCGGTCTTATCGTTAAGAGCGATCTCTTCCAGACAACATTTGAGGTAAAGGAAAGCTAACCGAAGCGGAAAAAGTAACGTGCCAATTTACAAATAAAATTAATTGGATTATATATAACTTCCATTATAATTTATGAAGCACTTAATAAATAAATAACGATACATTACCATATGTACATAAATATAAATAAATATACCTAAATACATTTATACTTACTAATAAATATATTCACGTTGCAAACTAGGACCGTGTTCGAAGATATTTAAGCAATCCGGTTTTGAAAATAGGGAGAGACTTAGCATGTCAGATTTCAGATGGGACATCGTTCCATAATAAGGTTTTTTTTCCATTGTACTCATTAATACGTAAGTGATGTATGTTTGGGTCTTATGTAACCATTACCATAGTTATTAGTAACTAATACGAAGTTAATAAATATGAGCCCATAATCAGGATGATCAAGCGAGACTGCCATTTTTTTTTAAATTTCGGCTCACCAGCCCTTGCTACCAAACTTTTGTACCTACATACATATAAATAACAAACCAGAAGCTTGATTAAAACTTATCTTGTTTTCCAACATTTTTGTGTCCATGGATTTATCAACAACGGACTAACATATCTGGTTTACATGACAGTGCCATTTATTTAGGTAATCTTGATAGTGAGTGCAAAATAAAAATTATCAGTCAGTGCCTGGCTATCGCAAAGATCGGACGTGAACTCTATTTTATAATCACATGCGTAAAATTGATTTTATTGTGTTTATAGAAAAAGTATCGATTATTGAGGACTGTATTTTTGGATCAAACTATTTTCGGATAAAACAATACTGACGAAGGATTGTTCATGGTGAGTGCTCAAATAAATGTGAAATGATTAAACAAATGAATTAAACTCCTTTAGAATTTAACATCAAAAGAGAATATAAGAAATATTACAATAATTCAATTGCAAAAATGAATAACATAGACTTCACAGATAAAGTAGTTATTGTAACTGGTGCCAGTTCAGGTATAGGAGCTGAGACAGCAAAATTACTAGCTTTATACAAAGCTAAACTAACTTTAGTCGGTAGAGAAGATGCCAGGCTTACGAAGATCGCTCAAGAATGTGAAACTAGAAATGGAATACCACCTTTATGCTTACTCTTAGATCTTACAGTAGATTATAATTGCAAACTGACAGTGGAAAAAACAGTACAAACATACGGACGATTGGATGTATTAATTAATTGCGCTGGAAAAATGAAAGTAACGTCACTGTTTGATCAATCGATAGAATTGTTTGATGAAATGATAGCTATAAATCTACGTGTGCCGTACTTGTTGACTCAATTGTCATTGCCACATTTGTTGAAAAGCAAAGGAAATGTTGTTAACATTGGATCTTCATTATCTAAAAGACATCGCCCTGGATTTTTAGCGTATAAGATATCAAAAACAGGCCTGGATAAATTCACAAAGCAGGCAGCAGCAGAACTAGCATCTGAAGGCGTTCGAGTAAATTCAATAAGTCCAGGTGTAACAAGAACAAATATATTGAACAATTTAGACGTAAATGGTGAATTGCAGACTATAATTTATGATGCTATAGCCGAGAATCTACCACAGCGTACTGTGATTGAACCCAAAGAAGTGGCTATGCTGATCGCTTTGACAGCTAGTGGTATGTTCCCACACTTAACTGGATCGAATTTTGTTGTCGATGGCGCTTCTAGTATGTCATAGTTTTAGTGATATTTCAATGTAACATTATAAATTGTAAAAATTAGGTTGATTTTAAAGATGATAGGACTCGTAATAAGTACGGTTCTTTAACTCCTGGAAATTATTATGATTTTGATATGTTTTTGTGGGTGTGGAATAAATTACTTTGGAATAAGTATGTATTTGTTTATTTATAACAAGTATTTTTTCATAAACCAATTGATTTTGCGACAAGATGAACGGACGACCTGAGAAAGAAGCCGGCAGCGGCAGGATGCGGACGGCACAAGACAGAGGGAAAATCGGCGTTCTCAGGGAGAGGCTTATGTCCAGCAATGGATGCGTGTAAGCTGATGATGATGATTGACCACAACATACTTTTAACAAATCCGGAATACGAAGCGATTGTTTTTCTGTATTTTGAAAATTATCTTTACTTTATATGAGTGTTCGTGAATGATTATAAGCGATTACAATGTTTATATATAGATAAACTGAAGACCTCCTTACATATTACGTTTTAATACTATTGTGATAAGTTTGTATGATAAGAATGTAACGGCAGCGATGTTATATCAAATGGTGAGTAATAATAAAAAGTATTTTACTATAAATAAATTGAATAAGTTTGATATTTTAAAGTCGAATTTCACGTACATATTGAAGAGATAAACTTTATACAACCGATACAATCTAAATAGAATTGAATCTTTAAAGCAATACTAAATTTAACAAAGCAATAAAAAGTACAGTCAACAAACCAACCAAAAATTAAACAACAGAATGTGATAGTACAGCAACGTTGGAAGGAAAAGGGAAAGACCGCGCGATCGCGCTCATCAGATGTTCCAAGGTTGTCTTTTAGACGGACGCACTTCCCTTGCAATAAAAAACGAACCCGAGCAATCGCGCGCAAAAGAACATCAGCTTTAAAAAATTCAAATATGTAATCGCGTGCGATTGCGCATGCAGGTTATCCCGCGCGCAATCCTGATCACGCGTGAGAGTGTGTAAAAAGGGGCTAATGTAATACGTTGCTGACTGTGTCCCCCTAAAACTACATTTTTTTTTACCAAACGCATACCATGTGACATTTGTCGAGCTGGGTAGCCCAACGGTTTGCACTGTGGGCACTGAATGAGCAGGTCCCGGATTCAATTTCCGGAAAGACCAATTTGGGAAATAAACTTTTCTAAATTATATAGATTTTAAGACTTTCGTGGTTAAACTAAATGATTATCACTAGTATCAGGTTTCTTACCACGGTAAGACTTCTTTTTATTTTTTTTTCCCGATATTTCGGAACGATTGCACGCTCCATGGTCACGGGTTGACTGGACGGCGGCAGATGACAGCTTTATGAGCAGACATATCTGTCTACCCTCTTGCGCTGTCGACGACTACCTTCATCGCGATTTGTTGTGGCGTTACCATTGTCACTCACTTTTTTCACACAAACCACACTCACTGTATCCACACGCGAAACTGAACTCGAGGTGTTTTTGTTTTTATTACTGCACGCACTAAGGACCGGATTCCATGCACTGGACAGTTTAAAACCATTATCACGGTTAAATGTTTTGTACTTCGTGATCTCGATGGCTTCTCGTACCAACCGTGGTATGCAGTGACGTTCTGTCGAGGGTACCTGGGGGCTATGCAACTCGATCCAGTGGTTAGTGTCAGTCTGTGTGAGATGTTGTGCTATAGCCGACTTCTGTGCATCATTGTTTTTTACTGCTCGGATGTGTTCCTTCATACGATCGACAATTGTTCGTTTAGTCTGACCGATATACGAGCTCCCACAACTGCAGTTCACTTTATAGACACCCGGTGTTTGTAAAGGAAGGTGGTCTTTTGGTGAACGTAACATTTTTCCTAGTTTGGTTAAGTGGGTGAAAACAGTTTTTATGGAAAACTTCCTTAGCGACCTGGCTATTTTATCTGTTAAATCTTAAGTTTGAGAGCAGATATGTTGCAGCCCGTTGCGTGCACTTGTACAACGAGTTTTGTGATCACTATCGTCACGCATTAAATAGTGAAAGAGAAGCCATGAAATAGGAACTGCGCGTTTATAAACCTGACAAATCCTTGGAAACTTGACTAGACTTAGAATTGGAAAGACAATGAATTGCAGAAACGTTGAACACAGCTCACAACACACCAAACGCTATTCTAATGATTAACAGCAGTCTGGTGTATGTAATCCTTTCGTACACATCAAACAAAGATCTAAGAAAATCAAAGGGGATAAGAGATTAAAATAATGACAAGCGATCGAGGTGATAAAACAATATAATCCGCGCATACATTTACGTGTGGTACAATGCACTGACGTCTTTCTTTTTAACAACAATATAGTCATTGTGCTGTTATAATTCTATTTCAAGCTGACTTGAGGGTATCCCTGTCCGTTCTTACAGCTTTCTACTAGCGCAGACAATCAACCAATGACCAATAAGCTCAATAACATCGTAAGAAAAGCAGTAAGTAAATACTGTTACCTGAAATCTGACCACATACACAGAAACTATATTATAATATACATATATAGTTTCTTAAAAAGTTGATTAGTGTCCTTTTAAATTAAGATCCTATGTTACTTATGAATGAATCCTTATAATTGACCCTTTCAATCGGGATCATAAAAATACAGGGTGTTTTTTATTTTCACATTTAGTCGGCTCGATTTCTAAATGAGGCAACTTTTTGAAAGTCTTTCAATGCGGTATAACTATCTCTCAAAAATATTGTCTGCACTAAGTATAATAATCTGTCTACAATATTTAAAGCACATAAAATCAGTAAGCTTAAGTGGCAGTGGACCGGACATTTATTTTTTATAATATCAAGTGACGGGAAGAACAAGTCGTGCGCCTGATGGTAAGCTACACGCCTGTCCATAACAGTTGCAGTACCACTCAGAGTTTTAAATTGCGAAGATTTGAGGGGCTCTGCCACTGCGCCCGTCATCGTGAAACACAAGTTGACAAGGCCCATATGCCTGTAATTTCACCAGCACTCTTACCCTTCAAAACCGGAACACGATTTCTGCCGACAAGCAGTCTTCTTGGCGGCAGAAATAGGTAAGGTGGCAAGTACTACCCTGGACGTACTCTACTGCAATTAATGTCTCCAGGAGGGCTGATAGCCGATGGAGGCCGGCAGCGGCTAGATATGGGTGGCACGGAACCAGAAGAGTTATGTGCGTGTAAGCTGATGAGGATATATACGTCCTAGAAGTGTACAGTGACAATAGCTTTTTCAATATATTTACTTCAACGTTCATCATCAATCCAATATACATATCCGACTGCTGGGAAGGGGTTTCACATGTTTCTCAAGGGTCGTGAACCTTCTTCGACATGCAGGTTTAATCACGACGTTGACCCTCAGCGATAACTATAGGTGTTGCTATTAAATCTCCCACTTTGTCTTTTTTTAAAGGAAATATCGGCTAGGAAATGAAACTGTTTTTCCAGATAGAAATCGCGTATATTTGTTTTTTCAAACAAACCAACTTTTCGGGCCCTTTACAGGTCCCATGGTCACGGTTGACTGAGGCGGTACAGTCATAAACCAGTTATGTCTAATATTAATGCAAACCACCCTATTTTTTCACTATAGTTACAAAAGTTATTAATTAAATACCTTATTTTTAATTTTACAAAGAAACATTCCAATTTACGCTACATTAAGTTTTACAAATTATTTTATTGAATGAATTTTTATTAAGTTCAATTTATTATTAATTAATAATAGAAATTAGAATAAACTACTTGTTAATTAGTACTGCAGTCTTATGTTTGTTTGGAATTTTTCATCAGAGGAAATACTGGATCCCAAACTTGTGGTACGGAGAAACCATCTTCCCTGTTAAAATTAAGAACAAAATATACGAGATTTAAATCCGGAAAAATCTTCACTTCCTAGTAACAATCGCGAAAACCTAAGAACTCGAAAATATCGGCTGTTCTTTATTCGAAAAACTCGAATTGTAGACTAGCTACCATAAAAGACAAAAGATAAATAACTAAAACGCTTAATCCGACGACTTAGGGCACAAAGTAAAAGAAATTCCGTCTGAGTGTTTGGCAGCGTCAAAATATCATCACTAAATAAAACGACCATTGTCTCGTCTCGGTTCTGCAAGCGTATCTATTGTGGTCACAGTTAAATTAACACCGCTACAATGTAGTTGTCGTTCCTTGTTACTTCATAACAATCGTCTTTATTTATAAAACTAATATAACACGCTATTGGTCAAACTACTTATCGACACTGTGGTGTAAGATCTGTGCCGAAGGTTTGTTATACAGGGTGAAAATTATACATGGTTTTTTTTAGCCTAGCAAATTTGAAGAAAATGTTGCACCTCCAAGTGTGGCAAATGAGGGGAATCCGGTTTATTGTATTTCACCAACATTCCGCCAACTGATTTCAATAAAACCTTGGTAATTACATGTCATTCCACAAACTTTTGAGGTTGGTTTTATATGTATTATAAAATTATTTATACATTTGTGGCAATAACCAGTAATAGACGAAATATTATTTTTCTTAAAAAAGACCTATAATGTGAGAAATTCATTAGTAATTATAATATACAAAACGACAATGACATGGTATTTTGTTGAATTATTTCGAATGATAACATTCTTGTTTTATATTGTATGTACAAGAATTTTACATATAATTTTACTAGACGGAGCTTAAAAAACGATAACAAATTATAAAATGAAAAACGTTTTTTTTTTTAAATTACTCAGACTGTTGTTACGGTTTTGCGGCTTTTACCATTGGTATGGTAATAAATAAAATGCGTGAGTCGTAGCTATTAAATGACTGGTTTTATTCATTGACACATTAAGCTTATATATTAAAACAGTGCGTGTCTAAAATTGGTGACTTAATCTAATCTTTATTATATCTACTTATCTGAAACATTGTGGCAGAGTGTGTCGATTATTGTACTTTCTTATCGACACGAAATGATCTGCCACAGTATTCCCCCCTTTAAAAAATAAAAATATCTTGACGCATCTGCTCTGCTCTGGAATGATTTATGCCGTGAAAGGTATCAAACACAATTCTCCTAAATGCTTCGGTTAGATATGGCCGAGCGACACCTGTAGATGTGTCGCATATAATTGGTGTTCCACTTTCTTGCATGCTTACTTTCTTTATTTTTAATTTTTTACTCCTTTTTAATCTGTGTAAACTGACATCATTGTCTTGGTATTCTGCTAATTTT